CAACATTTGTATGCCACCCTTCTCACCCCGAAGAGGACTCAGAGCAGCTTACAAGATATATATATATATATATATACACACACACACATACAATATAATATATTATTAGCATAATATAATATCAGTATTAAATATCACTATATTGTACTATACCATTATATTGTATTAGTATTATTATTATTAATATTATTATTATTTAAAGCTTTTATAACCCGGTCTTCTCAACCTCCGAGGAGGGACTCAGGCTGGCTAACAATAGAGAATCAATATACAAATAAACTAAAGCATAATAACATCATAGTACATTAATACATTAAAACACATTAAAATACAGGTCAAGAATTACATAAAGCCAATTCGTCAAGATAAATCACAAATTCATCACCATCCTCCTTGTAGTCAACAGTTATTGATTCAATCATCAATCTGAGAATGCGAAGTTCCAGAGCCAAAATTTTACCATCTTTCTGAAAGTCAGGAGGGAGGGGGCAGATCTGATCTCTATCAGGAGAGAGTTCCACAGCCGAGGGGCCACCACCGAGAAGGTCCCGTCTCTCGTCCCCACCAGACACGATTGCGAAGATGGTGGGACCGAGAGCAGGGCCCTTCCAGAAGGGAGTAGAAGAATTGCTTTAGGAGATGGTGATCGGGTATTTGGACAATTTTCCCTTCTTCAAGCTGTTACATGTAATATAAATATATAATTATAATATCATATTATTATTAGTAGTAGTATATTGCATTACATTATAATATAAATATAATTAGCTAGGAATACAGATAGTGGAACAGGACCCTGTTTGTGGTGTGTTCTTTGTCCCTGAGGAAGGCTAGGCCAAAGGCTAGTTCCAGAAAGGGGGAATTTTGTTTGGAATTATTATCAGCGATTAATTTCCTGAGATAATCTCCTGTTTTGTTAACATCAAGATTTGAACCCAGAACCCATCTAAGAATTGCACATCAAGCGTAACCAGAAGCTGGTGTACTAGTAACTTACTGAAACCACTACGCATTTGTACCAGAAGAAGTTTAAGCCTGTTAAATAAACGTTTTATTATTGTTAACACCATATAACAGCTTCAGTATGAACATCATTGTGATTTCAACCCTCTAAAGAAAACTAACACTATCGTAACACAAAAGGGTGTTACTAAGTATAGTCTCCATATACAACTCAGCCTGAATACCAAACAAAAAGGTGGCAGCAGAAACAACTGAAGAAACAGTTTCAAAATCTCCCAGTTGCCTCTATCCTGTTTCAAAAATCCCCCTGTACCGATATAATTTGGTTAAAGCCGGTGGGATTCACTATTTTAAAATCCCCTGTCCCTTTCCCTGTTATGTTCCTTATAATTAGTGGCAATCGTCTGATATAGTTCCCCCAGGATATATGTATATACTATATATTATATTATATTATAATATTAGCATAGCACAGGAAACAAGGTGAAATGGTCTTCTGCCCCCCTTTCTCTTCACACTGGTTATCTGAGTCTACACTGTCATATATCCCAGTTCAAAGCAGATAGTGTGGGATTTTATTCACCTTTGTGGAAGGGGCATGTCAGTCAAAAAACACAGCTTCCCTTTCTCCCCTCTGCATGTTTTGTCATCCAACAAGGTCCCTACACACATAGAGCCCTTTTCTAAGCAAAACATACATGCTTAACTTTTTTTTAAAAAAAATCCATAATTGGTAATCTAAAGCCATAGATATCTTTAAGAAAGTTGCTAAATGAGCAGAGAGGTAATGGTCCCCTTATGGACAATCACTACACGACACCTCCAAGAAAAATACAGGGAGAAAAATCACTTAAGCTTGGCAAAAACTTGGTACATGAAACTCAGAGCCCAAAACTCAAACTGAAAGGAAAGCATTCTTCTTGACTTCCCCACAAGATAACGGTTTGTTATCTTTCTTTTGCTGTAGATAAAGCAATCCCCTCAGTCTCTGAAAGCTTCGCTTTCTGTCCAAGGTTTCATTATCCTCTCCCTCATTACCTCCCTCATTAACTTCAGTACCTGGGAAATCAATCTCAGCATCATTTTTCAGATAACCACAACAACAATAATAATCTTTATTTATACTCTCCACCATCTCCCCAATAATAATAAACTTTATTTATATCCCGTCACCATCTCTCCAAAGGGGACTCGGGGCAGCTAACATGAGGCCAAGCCCAAAATTACAATACAACAAAATACAAAGAAGCAAAACACCATAAAAATAAACACATGAAATAACACAATAAAATAAACAGTTCCAAAATAAATAGGATAGAGATATAGAACACAGGGTGGCTCGGTTGCTCTGAGGAAGCAGTGAAAGGACTCTCCCAGGAATGTGGCCTTGTGAATCATCCTGAAACAGCACAGGCCCCTCTTCTGAACTGGATTCACGTACAAACAAATTCTCATTCCCAATCCCAGAAGCAAAACACCATCAAAATAAACACGTAAAATAACAAAATAAAATAAATAGTTCCAAAATAAACAGGATAGAGAGATAGAACACAGGGCGGTCCGGTTGCTCTGAGAAAAGCAGTGAAAGGACTCTCCCAGGAATGTGGCCTTGTGTATCATCCTGAAACAGCACAGGCCCCTCTTCGGAACTGAACTAAGGTACAAACAAACCCTCATTTCCAATCCCTGAAGCAAAACACCATCAAAATAAACACATGAAATAACAAAATAAAATAAACAGTGGCGGCCCGGTTGCTCTGAGAAAAGCAGTGAAAGGACTCTCCCAGGAATGTGGCCTTGTGAATCATCCTGAAATAGCGCAGGCCCCTCTTCTGAACTGAACTTAGGTACAAACAAACCCTCATTCCCAATCCCAGAAGCAAAACACCATCAAAATAAACACATGAAATAACAAAATAAAATAAACAGTGGCGGCCCGGTTGCTCTGAGAAAAGAAGTGAAAGGACTCTCCCAGGAATGTGGCCTTGTGAATCATCCTGAAACAGCGCAGGCCCCTCTTCTGAACTGGATTCACGTACAAACAAATTGTCATTCCCAATCCCAGAAGCAAAACACCATCAAAATAAACACGTAAAATAACAAAATAAAATAAATAGTTCCAAAATAAACAGGATAGAGAGATAGAACACAGGGCGGTCCGGTTGCTCTGAGAAAAGCAGTGAAAGGACTCTCCCAGGAATGTGGCCTTGTGWATCATCCTGAAACAGCACAGGCCCCTCTTCGGAACTGAACTAAGGTACAAACAAACCCTCATTTCCAATCCCTGAAGCAAAACACTATCAAAATAAAAACATGAAATAACAAAATAAAATAATCAGTTCCAAAATAAACAGGATAGATAGAACACAGGGCGGCTCGGTTGCTCTGAGAAAAGCAGTGAAAGGAGTCTCCTAGGAATGTGGCCTTGTGAATCATCTTGAAACAGCGCAGGCCTCTCTTTTGAACTGAACTCACGTACAAACAAACCCTCATTCCCAATCCCTGAAGCAAAACACCATCAAAATAAACACATGAAATAACAAAATATAATAAATAATTCCAAAATAAACAGGATAGAGAGATAAAACACAGGGCGGCCCGGTTGCTCTGAGAAAAGCAGTGAAAGGACTCTCCCAGGAATGTGGCCTTGTGAATCATCCTGAAATAGCGCAGGCCCCTCTTCTGAACTGAACTCAGGCCCAAACAAACCCCCATTCCCAATCCCATCAGGAACAGTCCCATCATGAACACCAACATGAACATCATTTCTACCCATGAGCACCAGCATGAACATCTGACACAATCACAGGCTGAACAGGATGATATACAACACATGGTCCCTACACACATAGAGCCATTTTCCAAGCAAAACATACATGCTTACCTTTTTAAAAAAGAAATCCATAATTGGTAGTCTAAAGCCATAGATATCTTTAAGAAAATTGCCAAATGAACAGAGAGGTAATGATCCCCTTATGGACAATCATGTTCTGTATCCAGTCAAACACTTTTCAATTCCGTACAAAACCTAACGATCCCATTTAATTAAAGATAAAGATCAGCTTCTGTTGCAACCTAGAGCAGGAAACGAGACCAACAATCCACCACACTTGACTGTGGGAAAAACAATCCCTTTTTATTGATGAAAAATGGTTACAAAATAGAAGAAAATGCAAAGTCAAAAAGCCACAGTAAAATTCAGCAGTCAAGAATATCCATGAACTAGGTTAATATCCAAAAGCAACACTGTAAAAACCTGGAACCTGTTAGCAATCCGCTAACCGTACTTGGAGCACTAGAAGCCTCTTGGGATGTAGGCCACGGGAAACGGGAAATCTGCCAAGGTAATGCCTCAGTCTAAACGATGCCTGATCTAACGAGACAACCCAGCGAGAGGCACTTAAAACTGAAGAAACTGTTTCGTGACACGCCTCCAGGCTTTGAAGCCTGTGTTTCCTTTTCCCTTAATCTGCTTGACCTTCGCAGACTGCGATTCACTCCTGTTTTTCCAAATCTGTCCTTTTCTATCCTCATTAAGGAAGCCAGGTGTTAGCTCCTCTGGAGAGCTATCACCGCTTGGCTCTGCAACATTCTCATCAGAATGTGTAGTTTCACTTTCCAAGCCACTGACCTCAGAATCAACATTTTCATTACCATCAGGGAAAAATACATGTTCAGTAGCATCAGGAAATACAATCAGAGAATCAGGTTCAGGTTCAGCAATCAGAGAATCAGGTTCAGGTTCACACGCAGGCTGAACCCCAACAGCTTCTTTCACCTTGCATTCTAATTCTCTATATACATGAAAGTACAATAGAGCCAAAGTACTTTTGAAATGACAGAAACACCACCAACCAGATATGTACACATCACAATTTTCCATATTGATTTACTTTCCAAGCACATTCCAACTCTCCTCATCCAATTTTTATGCAGTTTTCAAGATAATGACACTTAAACAACAGGCATGGCGTGAATTACAAAGCCTCGCAGAGAGCAAAAAGTCATTGTAGAAGATACAAGTAAATGAAACTCACCAGCATTGACAATAGCATCCACCTCCAGCTTGGTGATGTCCCCACGGAAGAGAGAGATCTTCTCATTCAGATGGTTATCTTTGGGGTAAACAGCTTCTTCAGGCTGCTTGACTTTGGCGCCTGGCAGAAAGATCAGGGGTTTGGTGGGCATTGACCTTGGGTTTTGAAGTTGTAGTTCACCTACATCTACAAAGTGGGTGCTAGAAACAATATCATACGAAAGCTGACTGGCACAACCTGGGGATCACAACCAGATACAGTGAAGACATCTTGTCATTTGGGAGTTGTAGTTTCTGGGATTTATAGCTCACCTACAATCAAAGAGCATTCTGACTCCACCAATTATGGCATTGAACCAAACGTGGCATACAGGACTCTCAGGACCAACAGATAATACTAGAAGAGTTTGGTGGGCACTGACCTTGAGTTTTAGAGTTGTAGTTCACCTACATCCAGAGAACACTGTAGACTCAAACAATGATGGAGCTGGACGAAACTTGGCATGAATATTCAATATGCCCAAATGTAAACACTGGTAGAGTTTGGGGGAAATAGACCTTGGCATTTGGGCGTTATAGTTGCTGGGATTTATAGTTCACCTACAATCAAAGAGCTTTCGGAACCCCACCAACAATAGAATTGGGCCAAACTTCCCACACAGAACCCCCATGACCAACAGAAAATACTAGAAGAGTTTGGTGGGCACTGACCTTGAGTTTTAGAGTTGTAGTTCACCTACATCCAGAGAGCACTGTGGACTCAAACAATGATGGAGCTGGACCAAACTTGGCATGAATACTCAATATGCCCAAATGTAAACACTGGTGGAGTTTGGGGAAAATAGACCTTGACATTTGGGAGTTGTAGTTGCTGGGATTTATAGTTCACCTACCAACAGTAGAATTGGGCCAAACTTCCCACACAGACCCCCCATGACCAACATAAAATACTGTGTTTTCTGATGGTCTTTCGCGACCCCTCTGACACTCCCTCGCGACCCCTCCAGGGGTCCCGACCCCCAGGTTGAGAAATACTGCTGTAGAGCATTGCACCCTCTTGGTATTCTGCCCCTCCACTGAAGCCTCAGATACACCTTTTGGCCAGAACTCCTATGTGTAATCTTTTGCCGCACTCGGGTGGACGCATTGAGTATTGCACCCTCATTTTTTTGTTTGTTTGTTTGTTTTGATATTACACATCTAGATAGTTTGTAGGTTGTGTTTCTTCATCAGCTTCCCTATGCAATCAGTGGTTCCTTTAATGTATGGTAAATTCCAGACAAGAAACAATCAGGGCCAACTAACACCTCCCAACAAAGGATTCCTCCAGGCAGGAAGCAGCCAGGCTTTGAAGTAGCAAGGCCATTCAATGCTAATCAAGCTGGTCAATTGCAACATCCAGCAGACAAGAATTCTTTCTCCCACCCTAGTATATAAACCTCACTTGCCTAGTTCCCAACAGACCTCACAACTCCTGAGGATGCCTGTCATAGATGTGGGTGAAACATCAGGAGAGAATGCTTCTGCAACATGGCCAGACAGGCCGGAAAACTCACAGCAACCCAGTGATTACAGCACTGAATGCCTTTGACAACACATTTTTGCAAAAGTTTGTTGTGTGAGTGTCACGGTTCAAAACAAGCTTCAAACTGCATTATTTATTTATTTATTTACTAGCCGTCCCCTGCCACGAGTTGCTGTGGCCCACATGGGGGTTCTGTGTGGGAGGTTTGGTACAACTCTATTGTTGGTGGAGTTCAGAATGCTCTGTGATTGTAGGTGAACTATAAATCCCAGCAACTACTGTTCTGTCGCGCGCTGGGCCTATAACAACTGTCTTTTCTATAGGACGTATACTTTAAGCCCAGCGGGAAGCCAGGGGTGCCTCAAAGAGAGGTTCTCAGGGATTTTCTTGAAGTGATGGTCTTTAGAGTCTTTAATGATACAACAAAGTCTTTATTATGGAACATCAACAAATCTTCAATGGTTCAAACAACACTTCAAGGCTTTCTTAGTCTAGTCCTCAATGGACTGGTACCTGACTTTGATTAACTGTACTTTCTCTGTAGGAAAAAACCCTATTTAACCTCTCCCAGGCTGTTTACTATCTATGCCTCATCAGTGTGGGTCCTACTACCGATTCCAAATGTGTCTGGGTATCGAGTAGACCTACCAGCCAAGGCTTGTAGATATTTCAGTGGAGTTCCGTGGATCTGTAGTGCTGTCCTCCCACAGAGAATTCTTTGAAAACTTCAGGGCTGTTTTCCCTCTGATTGCCGTGAGGCTGAGAAGCTGTGAGCTCTCAGCCAGAGCCTTGGGACCTTTCCCCTGGAATTTCTGTTTCTGTTTCCCTGGATGTTCTTGAGAAAAGAAGCTTTTCTACGGGATGAGCTGGTCTACGTCCTATAGTTTAGCTTCCTTACGAGAGACTGCTCAAAAAATGGCTCCTTTCCCTCCCAGAGCCCTGAACAAGGGACGGAACCAAAGCTTAATTATGATGGACAGGAGGCCTGCCCTATGACTGCAAACAGATAACAGAAAGAAAATAAAGTTGGAGCTCCTGGTACAGCCGTATCAGCACAGAATAACTCGCAAATGTCAATATTCTATTTTCTCCAAACTCCACCAGTGTTCACATTTGGGCATATTGAGTATTTGTGAGTTTGGTCCAGATCCATCATTGTTTGAGTCCACAGTGATCTCTGGATGTAGGTGAACTACAACTCCAAAACCAAAGGACACTGCCCACCAAACCCTTCCAGTATTTTCTGTTGGTCCTGGGAGAACTGTGTGCCAAGTTTGGTTCAATTCCATCGTTGGTGGGGTTCGAAATGCTCTTGATTGTAGGTGAACTATAAATCCCAGCAACTACAATTCCCAATCAATTTTTTTGGGTGAAGGACATACATTGGGTTGTTAGGTGTCTTGTGTCCAAATTTGGTGTCAATTTATTCAGTGGTTTTTGAGTAATGTTAATCCCACAAACGAACATTATATTTTTATTTATATAGATTACTAGCTGTACCCACTACGCATTGCTGTGGCCAACCTTCCCTCCCTCTTTCTCTCCTTCTTTCTTTCTCTCCTTTCCTTCCCTCTTTTTCTTTCCCGTCTTCTTTCTTCCTTCTCTACCTGTTTCTTTTCTCGTTTCCTTTGCTCTTTGGTTCCTTCCTTCCTTGTCTCTTTCCTTCCTTCCTCCTCCCCTCTTTCTTTTTTTCTTCTCTCCCTCCTTCTCTCCTTACTTTCTCTCTCTCTTCTTCCTTCTTTCTCCTTCCCTCCTTTCTTTCCTCTCCTTTCTTCTCTACCCTTCTTTCTTCTCTTCTCTCTTCCTCTCCCTCTTTCTTCCCTTTCTACCCTTTCTTCCTTCCTCTCTCCTTCCCTCTTTCTTTCCCTTCTCTCCCCTCCTCTCTCCCTCCTTCCTTCTCTACCCTCTTTCTTCCTTTCTTCTCTCCTCCTCTTTCTCTCCTCTTCTCTCCTCCTTCCTCCTCCTTCTTTTCCTCCTTCTCTCCTTCCCTCTTTTTCCCTTCTCCCCTCTTTCTCTCCTCCTTCCTTTCCTCCCTTTTCTTTCCTTCCTCTCCTTCCCTCCTTTTTCCCTTCTTCTCTCCCTCCTTCTCTCCTTTCTTTCCTTCTTTCTCTCCTCCTTCTTTCCCTCTCCTTTCCTCCTTCCTTCTCCCTTCTTTCTTTCCTTCCTCTTCCCTCCTCTTCTCTCCCTCCTTCTCTCCTCCCTTCCTTCTCTACCTTTCTTTTTTCCTTCCTTCTCTCCTTCCCTTTTTCTCTCCCTCCTTCTCCCCTCCCTTCCTTCTCTACCCTTCTTTTTTCCTTCCTTCCCTCTTTCTCTCCCTCCTTCTCTCCTCCCTTCCTTCTCTACCCTTCTTTTTTCCTTCCTTCTCTCCTTCCCTCCTTCTTTCCCTTCTTCTCTCCCTCTTTCTCTTCCTCTTTCTCTCCCTCCTTCCTTCTCTCCCTCCTTCCTTCTCTACCCTTTCTTTCCTTTCCTTTCCTTCCTCTTTCTCTCCCTCCTTCCTTCTCTCTCTTTTTTTTCAATTCCATCTTGGTGGGGTTCAGATGCTATTTGATTGTAGGTGAACTATAAATCCCAGCAACTACAACTCCCAAATGACAAAATCAATTTTTTTTGAGTGAAGGACATGCATTGGGTTGTTAGGTATCTTGTGTCCAAATTTGGTGTCAATTCGTCCAGTGGTTTTGGAGTTCTGTTAATCCCACAAACGAACATTGCATTTTTATTTATATAGATTTACGATATTTCTATGCCGCCCTTTTCACCCCAAAGTGGACTCAGACTAAATAGTCAGTATGGACAATCCTAATACCCAGAGTAATATGTTCACATCCCCACAATGCCCTTTTTCTTCCATTTCTTGGAAAATAAAATACTGGAGAAGAAAGAAGAAAGAAAACTCACTTTTCGCCATCTCTTTCCACGAAGGTATTTGCTTCAGTTTGATGAAATCCTTGGTGAAATATTGCTCCCGCCTTTGTTTGTTATTCAGCCCTTTGAGAAATGCTGGGGGAGAAACACATAAAGGAGAGAATTAAGAAGAGTTTGTGAGACTAAGAGACATTGGTTCAATGTATTGTCGATGGCTTTCATGGCTGGAATCACTGGGTTGTTGTGGGTTTTCCAAGCTGTGTGACCATATTCCAGAAGCATTCTCTCCTGACATTTCACCCACATCTATGGCAGGCATCCTCAGAGGTTATAAGGTCTGTTGGAAACTAGGCCAGTGGGGTTTATATATCTGTGGAATGATGTCCAGGGTGGGAGAAAGAACTCTTGTCTGTTGGAGGCAAGTGTGAATGTTACAATTTACCACCTTGATTAGCATTTCATAGAATCATAGAATCAAAGAGTTGGAAGAGACCTCATGGGCCATCCAGTCCAACCCCATTCTGCCAAGAAGCAGGAATATTGCATTCAAATCACCCCTGACAGATGGCCATCCAGCCTCTGTTTAAAAGCTTCCAAAGAAGGAGCCTCCACCACACTCCGGGGCAGAGAGTTCCACTGCTGAACGGCTCTCACAGTCAGGAAGTTCTTCCTCATGTTCAGATGGAATCTCCTCTCTTGTAGTTTGAAGCCATTGTTCCGCGTCCTAGTCTCCAGGGAAGCAGTAAACAAGCTTGCTCCCTCCTCCCTGTGGCTGCCTCTCACATATTTATACATGGCTATCATATCTCCTCTCAGCCTTCTCTTCTTCAGGCTAAACATTCCCAGCTCCTTAAGCCGCTCCTCATAGGGCTTGTTCTCCAGACTCTTGATCATTTGAGTCGCCCTCCTTTAGTCGCCCTCCATTTTAGTCGTTTCAAGCTCTTGCTTCTTACTTCCTGGGGGCAATCCTTTGTTGGGAAGTAATTAGCTGGCCCTGATTGTTTCCTGTCTGGAATTCCCCTTCTTCCTGAGTGTTGTTCTTTATTTACTGTTATGATTTTAGAGGTTTTTTTAAATACCCATTTTCATGGTTTCTTCATTTCTGTTGAAATTGTCCACAAACTTGTGGATTTCAATGGCTTCTCTGTCTATTCTAACATTCCAAAAACTACCATGTCAAGCATGTGGGCAATTTCAATAAAATGATCAAGGGTCTGGAGAACAAGCCCTATGAGGAGCGGCTTAAAGAGCTGGGCATGTTTAGCCTGAAAAAGAGAAGACTGAGAGGAGACATGATAGCCATGTATAAATATGTGAGAAGAAGTCACAGGGAGGAGGGAGCAAGCTTATTTATTTATTTATTTATTTACAGCTTTTCTATTCCGCCCTTCTCACCCCGCAGGGGACTCATATATGGCAAACTGTGTATACATATATGGCAAACGTTCAATGCCAATTTTTGACATACAAACAAATTTTTGACATACAAACAAACAAATTTTTGACATACAAATTTTTGACATACAAACAAACAAATTTTTAACATACAAATTTCTGTTTCTGTTTCCCTGGATGTTCTTGAGAAAAGAAGCTTTTCTACGGGATGAGCTGGTCTACGTCCTATAGTTTAGCTTCCTTACGAGAGACTGCTCAAAAAATGGCTCCTTTCCCTCCCAGAGCCCTGAACAAGGGGCGGAACCAAAGCTTAATTATGATGGACAGGAGGCCTGCCCTATGACTGCAAACAGATAACAGAAAGAAAATAAAGTTGGAGCTCCTGGTACAGCCGTACCAGCTGTACAGGCATACACAGAGGCTATTTAACTTTTTCTGGCCGCCAGGGGAGCTGTCGCTTTCATCGTCCATCTGCGATGCTGATGAAGCACTTCCGCATTCCCCGCATGCTTCCCCGCTGGAATGCTTTGCTGGAGTCTTCTTTATGGCCTCATAAATCAGTTAATTTAGCCTCCCCACACTTTAAGGTGGTACCTTATTTTCCTACTTAACAGATGCAACTGTCAAGGTTGCAAAAGTCGACAACAGGCTACACACAATTGGTTGGAAACCCACTCCAACCCGGGCTGGCTTCGAACTCATGACCTTTTTGGTCAGAATGATCCTTTCTGCTTCCCTGGAAACTAGAACGCAACGGAACAATTCTTTGAATGATTTTGCGTTTTATTTGTGTGTTTTAACTACATTGGTCCCTGCCTGAAGCTGTGAGGAGAGGCGTGTCGCAAATTATTACTACTACTACTACTTACTTACTTAGGCAATCCCTTGTTGGACGAGTGTGTTAGTTATGGTTGGAAACCGGTCTGAGTCCCTCAAGAGAGGTGAGAAGGTCGGTATACAAAACTTTTAAATAAATAATTAATAAATAAATAGTCTTCCAGGACCGGAATTCTTGTGGATCCGTAGGTGGCTGTGGAGCCCTATTCTTGACCTGCATCTTCTCCCGCAGTGAGGGCATTGGTTTCCAGGTGGAAGGCGGTCCCGGTCGGGGTTGCCTTGACGCACCTTCCTCGTTTCTCTCTTTCACCCTCCATTCGTGCCTCTTCAAATTCTGCAGCACTGCTGGTCACAGCTGACCTCCAACTGGATCACTCAAGGGCCAGGGCTTCCCAGTTCTCGGTGTCTACGCCAGAGTTTTTAAGGTTGGCTTTGAGCCCATCTTTCAATCTCTTTTCCTGCCCACCGACATTCTGTTTTCCATTCTTGAATTCGGAGTACAGCAACTGCTTTGGGAGATGGTGGTCGGGCATCCGGACAACGTGGCTGGTTCAGCGGAGTTGATGGCGAAGAACCATCGCCTCAATGCTGGTGGTCTTTGCTTCTTCCAGCATGCCGACATTTCTCCGCTTGTCTTCCCAAGAGATTTGCAGGATTTTTCGGAGGCAGCGCTGATGGAATCATTTCAGGAGTTGCATGTGATGTTTGTAGACAGTCCACGTCTCGCAGGCATATAGCAGGGTTGGGAGGACAATAGCTTTAAAACAAGCCCCTTGGTCTCCCTACGGATGTCCCGGTTCTCAAATACTCTCTGCTTCATTCAGAAAAAAGCTGCACTCGCAGAACTCAGGTGGTGTTGTATTTCAGTGTCAATGTTGACATCTGTAGGCAGTCCACGTCTCACAAGCATATAGCAGGGTTGGGAGGACAATAGCTTTATAGACAAGCACCTTGGTATCCCTATGGATGTCCCGGTCCTCAAACACTCTCTGCTTCATTAAAAATAAATGCTGCACTTGCAGAGCTCAGGCGGTGTTGTATTTCACTGTCAATGTTGACTTTGATGGAGAGGTTGCTGCCAAGGGAGCAGAAATGGTCAGCATTTTCTAATGTTACACCATTAAGCTGTATCTCTGGCATTGGAGAGGGATTAGCCGGTGACTGCTGGAACAGAACTTTGGTTTTCTCGATGTTCAATGACAGGCCAAGCTTCTCGTATGCTTCTGCAAAGGTGTTTAGAGTGGCTTGTAGGTCTTCTTCTTAGTCATTTCCGACTCTTTGTGACCTCATGGACCAGCCCACTCCAGAGCTCCCTGTTGGCCGTTGCCACCCCCAGCACCTTCAAGGTCAGTCTGGTCATTTCAAAGATGCCATCCATACATCTTGCCTTTGGTCGGCCCCTCTTCCTTTTTCCTTCCATTTTCCCCAGCATCATTGTCTTCTCTAAGCTTTCCTGTCTCTCATGATGTGGCCAAAGTACTTCAACTTTGTCTCTAGTATCATTCCCTCCAGTGAGCAGTCGGGCTTTATTTCCTGGAGGATGGACTGGTTGGATCTTCTCGCAGTCCAAGGCACTCTCAGAACTTTCCTCCAACACCACAGCTCAAAAGCATCGATCTTCCTTCGCTCAGACTTCCCTAAGGTCCAGCTCTCACATCCGTAGGTTACTACAGGGAATACCATGGCTTTGACTAGGCGGATCTTTGTTGCCAGTCTGATGTCTCTACTCTTTACTATTTTATCGAGACTGGACATTGCTCTCCTCCCAAGAAGTAAGCGTCTTCTGATTTCCTGGCCACAGTCTGCATCTGCAGTAATCTTTGCGCCTAGAAATACAAAGTCTGTCACGGCCTCCACATTTTCTCCCACTATTTTCCAGTTGTCAATCATTCTTGTTGCCATAATCTTGGTTTTTTTTATGTTTAGCTGCAACCCGGCTTTTGCGCTTTCTTCTTTCACCTTGATTAGAAGGCTCCTCAGCTCCTCCTCGCTTTCGGCCATCAGAGTGGTGTCATCTGCATATCTGAGGTTGTTAATGTTTCTTCCAGCAATTTTCACCCCAGCTTTGCATTCATCAAGCCCCGCACATCGCATGATGTGTTCTGAATACAAGTTAAAAAGGTTGGGTGAGAGGATGCAGCCTTGCCGTACGCCTTTCCCAATCTTGAACCAGTCTGTTGTTCCGTGGTCAGTTCTGACTGTTGCTACTTGGTCCTTGTACAGATTCCTCAGGAGAGAGGGAAGGGGGCTTGGGATGCCCATCCCACCAAGAACTTGCCACCCAAACTGCTACAACCAACTAACTAAAGCTACTAGTCGGCTATTGAAAACACTTCTACTTCTAGGCCTCTAGGCCTGGAAGGCCTCACAAGCGGTTGCCTAGGAAACCGCCTGAATTTACCATCATGCTTTGCAGGATGCTTGCTTTGTAAACATGGCATGCTTAGTCCTTAAGACAGATATCATTCAATGTTTGTGCGCGCCGTTCTCCTTTCAGCAGCTGAAATTTGAGAAATGCAGAGAAGGCCAAAGACCTTGGGAAACTGAAACTCCAACAATGCTGGATATTGAACCTCAGCAGTTATGGTGGTATCAAACTGCATTAATTCTGCAGTGTAGATGAGGCCTGGGCACATTTCTCCCAGGGCCCTTCCATACAGAATATCAAAGCAAATAATGCACAATATCTGTGTCGGACTCGATTATTTGAGTCCATAGAATCACAGAGTTGGAAGAGACCTCATGGGCCAGCCAGTCCAACCCCTTTCTGCCAAGAAGCAGGAAAATTCCATTCAAATCACCCCTGACAGATGGCCATCCAGCCTCTGTTTAAAAGCTTCCAAAGAAGGAGCCTCTACCACACTCCGGGGCAGAGAGTTCCACTGCTGAACGGCTCTCAGTCAGGAAGTTCTTCCTAATGTTCAGGTGGAATCTCCTTTCTTGTAGTTTGAAGCCATTGCGTCCTAGTCCCACAACCGAAGCTTGCTCCCTCCTCCCTATGACTTCCTCTCACATATTTATACATGGCTATCATGTCTCGTCTCAGTCTTTTCTTCTTCAGGCTAAACATGCCCAGCTCTTTAAGCCACTCCTCGTAGGGTTTGTTCTTCTTGTAGTTTGAAGCCATTCTTCCATTGCATCCTAGTCTCCAGGGCAGCAGAAAACAAGCTTGCTCCCTATGACTTTCTCTCACATATTTATACATGGCCTTCATCATGTCTCCTCTCAGCCTTCTCTTCTTCAGGCTAAACATGCCAAGCTCTTTAAGCCGCTCCTCATACGGCTTGTTCTCCAGACTCTTGATCATTTTAATCGCCCTCCTCTGGACACATTCCATGAGTCCAACCCCTTTCTGCCAAGAAGCAGGAAAATTCCATTCAAAGCACCCCTGACAGATGGCCATCCAGCCTCTGTTTAAAAGCTTCCAAAGAAGGAGCCTCCACCACACTCCGGGGCAGAGAGTTCCACTGCTGAACGGCTCTCACAGTCAGGAAGTTCTTCCTAAAGTATACGTCCCGTCCCCCCTTGTGGGAAAGCTTGATTCCACAACCCCCGCTATAATGAGCCCTGCTCCGCAAATAACCTGCTTCTCTTTTATCTCACCGAGTTTTTAATTAGTTTTTAATTAGTTTTTCTTTTAATCATTACATATAGCCCAGCCTGCCCATTGTATGCTCCCTGTATGCCGCCCCAGTTATTAACCTGTGATTGTGTTTACTGTAATTTTGTATCATTGTGCATTCACATGTTTTATGTAATTATGATGTTGTTGTTTATTGTCTGCGTTTTCGGTTTGCGCTTTTGGTTTTATTCTGCTGTAATTTGTTGTTTGGGCTTGGCCTTATGTAACCCTCCCCGAGTCCCCATTGGGGAGACGGTGGCGGGGTATAAATAAAGATTATTAATAATAATAATAATAATAATAATAATGTATTGTCGAAGGCTTTCATGGCCGGAATCACTGGGTTGTTGTAGGTTTTTCCGGGCTATATGGCCATGTTCTAGAGGCATTTTCTCCTGACGTTTCACCTGCATCTATGGCAAGCATCCTGAGAGGTTGTGAGGTCGGTTGGAAGTAGGAAAATGGGTTTATATATCTGTGGAATAACCAGGGTGGGACAAAGGACTCTTGTCTGCTGGAACTAGGTGTGAATGTCTCAATTGACCACCTTAATTAGCATTTGATGGCTTGGCAGTGCCTGGGGGAATCTTTTGTTGAGAGGTGATTAGATGTGCCTGATTGTTTACTCTCTGTTGTTTTGCTGTTGTAATTTTAGAGTTTTTTAAAGATTGGTAGCCAGATTTTGTTATTAATGTTCAGATGGAATCTCCTTTCTTGTCATTTGAAGACATTGTCCCATTGCATCCTAGTCTCCAGAGCAGCAGAAGACAAGCTTGCTCCCTCCTTCCTATGACATCCTCGCACATATTTATACATGGCCCTCATCGTGTCTCCCCTCAGCCTTCTCTTCTTCAGGCTAAACATGCCCAGCTCTTTAAGCCGCTCCTCATAGGGCTTGTTCTCCAGACCCTTGATCATTTTAGATCAGGGGTCTTCAAACTAAGGCCCGGGGGCCAGATACGGCCCTCCAAGGTCATTTACCCGGCCCTCGCTCAGGGTCAACCTAAGTCTGAAACAACTTGAAAGCACACAACAACAACAACAATTCTTTCTCATCAGCCAAAAGCAGGCCCACACTTCAAATTGAAATACTAATAAGTCTATATTTGTTAAAATTGTCCTTCATTTTAATATTGTATTGTTTTTAAGTGTTTTTACAATTCTTTCTCAGCCAAAAGCAGCCCCACACTTCCCATTGAAATACTAATAAGTTTCTATTTGTTAAAATTGTTCATTTAAAATATTTTATTGTTTTTAAGTGGGGGGGGGGGTTGTGCTACAAATAACGCATGTGCAGTGTGCATAGGAATTCGTTCATTTTTTTTTCAAATTATAATCCATTCTTCCAACAGTTTGAAGGACTGTGACCTGGCCCTCTGTTTAAAAAGTTTGAGGACCCCTGTTTTAGATGATCAGGCAAATTTCTTCCAAGGCCCTTCCACACTGAATATCAAGGCAAATAACACACAATATCTGCGTTGAAGTGAATTATCTGATTATCTGATGGTGGAAACAGAAGAATGGCCTTCCTCAGGGAAGCGTACTTGCTCCATCCATGTTCAACATTTACACAAATGACCATCCGCTGCCAGAAGGGACAGAGAGCTTCATCTATGCTGACGATCGTGCCATCACCGCTCAAGCAGGGAGCTTTGAGATGGTAGAACAGAAGCTCTCCAAAGCTCTAGGTGCTCTTACTGCCTATTACAGGGAAAACCCTAATCCATCCAAAACACAGACATGTGCTTTTCAGACAAGCATCCCGAGCTCTGAAGATCACCTGGGAAGGAATCCCACTGGAGCATTGCAGCGCACTCAAATACCTGGGAGTCACTCTGGACCGTGCTCTGACCTACAAGAAGTACTGCCTGAACATCAAGCAAAAAGTGGGAACTAGAAACAATATCATATGAAAGCTGACTGGCACAACCTAGGGATCACAAACAGACACAGTGAAGACATCTGCCCTTGCGCTATGCTACTCTGCTGCTGAGTATGCATGCCCAGTGTGGAACACATCTCACCACACTAAAACAGTGGATGTGGCTCTTAATGAGACATGCCGCATTATCACGGGGTGTCTGCACCCTACACCACTGGAGAAATTTCACTCTTTAGCCAGTATTGCACCACCTGACATCCGCCGGGAAGTAGCAGCCAATAGTGAAAGGACCAAGGCAGTGACATCTCCAGCTCATCCCCTGTTTGGGTATCAGCCAGCACGTCAACGACCTAAATCAAGAAATAGTTTTCTAAGATCTACAGAGACACTCGCTGGAACACCTCAGCAAGTGAGAGTCCAAAAGTGGCAGGCTCAAACCCAGAACCTCAATCAATGGCTGATACCAAATGAGAGACTCGCCCCTGGGCACACAGAAGACTGGACGACTTGGAAGGCGCTGAACAGACTGCGTTCCGGCACCACGAGATGCAGAGCCAACCTCAAGAAATGGGGCTACAGGGTAGAATCCACGACATGCGAGTGTGGAGGAGAGCAAACTACAGACCACCTGCTGCAATGCACCCTGAGCCCTGCCACATGCACAATGGAGGACCTTCTTGCGGCAACACCAGAGGCACTCCAAGTGGCCAGATACTGGTCAAAGGACATTTAATCGATTACCAAGCTTGCAAACTTTGTGTTTTGCTTTGTTTGTTTGTTTGTTTGTTCAAAAATGCAATGCAACTGTTTGGTCTGCTCCTGAAATGACAAATAAACAAAATCAAGGCAAACAATGCACAATATCTGTGCTGAACTGGATTATCTTGAGTCCACACTGCCATATAATCCGGTTCAGTGTGGATTTTATGGAAAAGCCCTCATTTTGGAAAAGGAGTCGTTTTGGATGGAGCTGTTTGCAACTTGAACAAAGGAAGGGGAAGTGGCACAGACTTACATTTGGCCTCCTTCCAGTCAGTGGACGTGGTCAGATCCACCTTGGCTGCCATGGCCAAAGGAGGGAGGGCTGCCCAGCTCCGGATGCCCCTGGCCAAGCCCCTAAGTGGGGTCCCTCTGCACCAAGGGGTGCCTTCTGCCCTCAAAGGTACCCTCAAGGCCCAACTTGCCCAGGCTCTCCTCCAGCCTGCCTGCAAAGCCCTGCCCAGGAGGGACATGGGCATGGCTGGAGATTCCTCTCCCTTATTTAGAACTCCTGTCTGGGATTCTGCAAGAAGGGCCAAGGCAACTGCCAGGGCAAAACACACACACCAGGAGGGGGCGGGGACTCGCCAGCCCCTTGGACACGCCCCTTCGGCGCAATGCTTGCTGGGAAACTGAGTTCTTTGCTGCCACGCTCAGTCCTGCCCAGGCTTGGGTGCATGCATCACTGTCCAATTAAAACAGTTGAACCCCACTTGAACTGCCATGAATCAATGCTCTGGCTTCCTGGGAATTGTATTATTATTATTATTATTATTATTATTATTAGACTCAATGCTCTGGGTTCCTGGGAATTGTTGTATTATTATTATTATTATTATTATTATTATTAGACTCAATGCTCTGGCTTCCTGGGAATTGTTGTATTATTATTATTACTATTATTATTATTTGGCTCAATGCTCTGAGTTCCTTGGAGTTGTATTATACAATAATAATAATAATAATAATAATAATAATAATAAGGCTCAATGCTCTGGGTTCCTGGGAATTGTTGTATTATTATTATTATTATTATTATTATTATTATTATATGGCTCAATGCTCTGGATTCCTGGGAATTGTATTATTATTATTATTATTATTATCATTATTGGACTCAATGCTCTGGGTTCCTGGGAATTGTTGAATTATTATTATTATTATTATTATTATTATTATTTGACTCAATGCTCTGGGTTCCTGGGAATTGTTGAATTATTATTATTATTATTATTATTATTATTTGGCTCAATGCTCTGGGTTTCTGGGAATTGTATCATTATTATTATTATCATTATTGGACTCAATGCTCTGGGTTTCTGGGAATTGTATTATTATTATTATTATTATTATTATATGGCTCAATGCTCTGGCTTCCTTGGAGTTATATTATACAACAACAATAATAATAATAATAATAATAATAATAATAATAATAATAATAATAAGACTCAATGCTCTGGGTTCCTGGGAATTGTTGTATTATTATTATTATTATTATTATTATTATTATATGACTCAATGCTCTGGCTTCCTGGGAATTGTTGTATTATTATTATTACTATTATTATTATTTGGCTCAATGCTCTGAGTTCCTTGGAGTTGTATTATACAATAATAATAATAATAATAATAATAATAATAATAATAAGGCTCAATGCTCTGGGTTCCTGGGAATTGTTGTATTATTATTATTATTATTATTATTATTATTATTATATGGCTCAATGCTCTGGATTCCTGGGAATTGTATTATTATTATTATTATCATCATCATTATTGGACTCAATGCTCTGGGTTCCTGGGAATTGTTGAATTATTATTATTATTATTATTATTATATTGGACTCAATGCTCTGGGTTTCTGGGAATTGTATCATTATTATTATTATCATTATTGGACTCAATGCTCTGGGTTTCTGGGAATTGTATTATTATTATTATTATTATTATTATTATTATTATTATTATATGGCTCAATGCTCTGGCTTCCTTGGAGTTATATTATACAATAATAATAATAATAATAATAATAATAATAATAATAATAAGACTCAATGCTCTGGGTTCCTGGGAATTGTTGTATTATTATTATTACTATTATTATTATTTGGATCAATGCTCTGAGTTCCTTGGAGTTGTATTATACAATAATAATAATAATAATAATAATAATAAGGCTCAATGCTCTGGGTTCCTGGGAATTGTTGTATTATTATTATTATTATTATTATTATTATTATTATATGGCTCAATGCTCTGGATTCCTGGGAATTGTATTATTATTATTATTATTATTATCATTATTGGACTCAATGCTCTGGGTTCCTGGGAATTGTTGAATTATTATTATTATTATTATTATTATATTGGACTCAATGCTCTGGGTTTCTGGGAATTGTATCATTATTATTATTATCATTATTGGACTCAATGCTCTGGGTTTCTGGGAATTGTATTATTATTATTATTATTATTATTATTATTATTATTATTATATGGCTCAATGCTCTGGCTTCCTTGGAGTTATATTATACAATAATAATAATAATAATAATAATAATAATAATAATAATAATAATAAGACTCAATGCTCTGGGTTCCTGGGAATTGTTGTATTATTATTATTATTATTATTATTATTATTATTATTATTATTATTATTTGGCTCAATGCTCTGGCTTCCTTGGAGTTGTACAATAATAATAATAATAATAAGGCTCAATGCTCTGGGTTCCTGGGAATTATTATTATTATTATTATTATTACTTGGCTCGATGCTCTGAATTCCTTGGAGTTGTATTATACAATAATAATAATAATAATAATGCTAATAAGGTTAATTGTGCTGGCTTCCTGGGAATTATTATTATTATTATTATTATTATTATTATTATTATTATTATTATTATTATTATTATATGGCTCAATGCTCTGGGTTCCTGGGAATTGTTGAATTATTATTATTATTATTATTTGGCTCAATGCTCTGAGTTCCTTGGAGATGTATTATACAATAATAATAATAACAATAATAATAATAATAATAATAATAATAAGGCTCCATGCTCTGGGTTCCTGGGAATTGTGTTGTTGTTGTTGTTGTTGTTGTTTGGCTCAATGCTCTGAGTTCCTTGGAGTTGTATTATACAATAATAATAATAATAATAATAATAAGGCTCAATGCTCTGGGTTCCTGGGAATTGCATTATTATTATTATTATTATTATTAATATTAATATTAACATTAATAGTATTACTATTATATGGCTCAATGCTCTGGGTTCCTGGGAGATGTATTATACAATAATTATAATTATAATAAGGCTCAATGCTCTGGGTTCCTGGGAATTGTTGTATTATTATTATTATTAGGTTCTTGTGGGTTTTTTCGGCCTTCGACAATACATTATTATTATTATTATTTGGCTCAATTCTCTGGGTTCCTGCAAATTGTATTATTATTATTGTATTGTCAAAGGCTTTCATAGCCGGAATCACTGGGTTGTTGTAAGTTTTTTCGGGCTATATGGCCATGGTCTAGAGGCATTATCTCCTGATGTTTCGCCTGCATCTATGGCAAGCATCCTCAGAGGTAGTGAGGTCTGTTGGAACTAGGCAAAAGGGTTTATATATCTGTGGAATGACCAGGGTGAGACAGAGGACTCTTGTCTGCTGGGGCTAGGTGTGAATGTTTCAATTGACCACCTTGATTAGCATACAATGGCCTGACTGTGCCTGGAGCAAAACCATATATTCCACGCACTGACTCCGATTTTGGAGGAATGAATTGAACCAATTGAGGGCCTGACCGCAAACTCCGGACATGGCGAGACGGTGGATCATTAAATCGTAGTCAACGGTGTCAAACACTGCGGTAAGATCGAGAAGTACCAGAAGTGCCGATCCGCTGCTATTTATTTATTTATTTATTTACCTTACTTATATACCGCTGTTCTCAGCCCGAAGGCGACTCACAGCGGTTCACAACAAATACGAACAGCAAAAATTCAGTGCTACAGTATAGAACAGTTAACAACCTAACACATTACACAATTAATAAACAGTTACTACAATACCCATTCACTGTCGTCTCGTCATCAAAAACATGTTCCAGATTCGTCATCCATTGTTCCATTCCAGTGTTCATTAACCAATCATTGCACTAATTATTCGAACTCCTGCTCAAACAGCCAGGTCTTCACCTTTTTGCGGAATACCATTAGAGATGGTGCTAGTCTAATGTCCGTAGGAAGGGCGTTCCACAGCCGAGGAGCCACCACCAAGAAGGCCCTATCTCTCGTCCCCACCAGCCGTCTAATGTCCATAGGAAGGGCGTTCCACAGCCACCACCGAGAAGGCCCTATCTCTCGTCCCCGCCAGCCGAGCTTGAGAAGCAGGCGGGATCGAGAGCAGGGTCTCCCCGGAAGATCTCAAAGTCCTGGTGGGTTCATAGGCAGAGATGCGGTCGGATAGGTAGCTTGGGCCGGAACCGTTTAGGGCTTTAAAGGCCAACGCCAGCACTTTGAATTCAGCCCGGTAGCAAATCGGTAGCCAGTGGAGTTGGCGCAACAGGGGGGTTGTATGCTCCCTGCGCTCCGCTCCTGTTAAAATCATGGCTGCCGAGCGTTGGACTAGGTGGAGCTTCCGAGCTGTCTTCAAAGGCAACCCCACGTAGAGAGCGTTGCAGTAGTCTAAACGGGATGTAACCAGAGCGTGGACTACCGTGGCCAAGTCAGACTGACGACGAAGTTCATCTGTAATAGCAACCAGGACCGTCTCCGTCCCATGACCCGGGTGTAAACCTGACTGGAAAGGGTCCAGGCCGGCTGTGTCACCCAAAAATTGCTGCAATTGTCCCAATACAGCCCGCTCTATCACCTTACCTAAGAATGGAAGATTAGAGACGGGACGATAATTGGCAAGGGTCATAGGGTCCAGGTTGGGCTTCTTCAACAAGGGATGGACCCTTGTATCTTTTAGGTTATCTGGGAAAACCCCTTATTCAAGAGAGCCATTGATTATATTGCTCAAAGGATCTAATAGTCCTTCCAGGCAGCTCTTAACCAGCCGAGAGGAGCACGGATCAAGGGAACAGGTGGTTGGCTTTGCAGCTTTGTTTTGGATGCCCATCGGAGGCCCTGGGAAGGGGGCCTAGCAGGAGGCCCAGTCCTTGGTCGGGAGACATAGTTCACCAAGGACAGAGCGATGGATTTTGTTGTTTTTCAACTCAACGCCCATCTGCTGATTCCAGCCTGAAACCATGACTCTCTGCTGCGTGGACTGGACTGTTTGCCACAACCCTGGCCATGAACTTTCTATCAATGCTTGATTTGAACTGCTAGCAACTTCCGTTTCCGCACGCCCTTCCTAAGAGCTTGAGATTTCCAGTTTGGGTTATAATAAAGATCGAATATTGAAATAAACCTTATGGGGTGGATGGGGTTCCCCTTGTGAACTATGTATAAAAGTGTATCGTGTGAAATGTAATATGTTCCCCTGCCTTTCCTATTGATCTTTACCCCACAAAAAGGTGACCAGAAGTTGTTGCAATGCTCGGGGGGAAATTCTCTGCTTCCC